CCTTTCTCCCCTGCATGAATATTCACCAATTGGTTACCAATTGGTTACCAATTGCTGGGCAGCAAACGACCCCAAGCTTTAGTGGCTTAAAACAAGTCCTTTGAGTGCTTTGAGTTTTAAAAGGATCTCTCAGAGGCGTAGGGTGAAGGGGAGCAAATGAAATGAGACTAGAGAGCAGGCTATTGCAACAGTCCCAGCAAAAGAGGTACTGGGGGCCCCCATCTGAGAGGGTCTCTGTCCCTGTGGTTTTGCTGGGCTTCGGCCAGAGGGCTGGTCGTGCCGGATGGCCCAACATGGCTTCCTCATATGTCCGGTGGTCGGTGCTGTTGGCGGGCCTCTGCGCCCCAGGGCCTCACTTGCCACCTGTCCTTCCTCAGAATTGCCTGGACATCTTCACATGTTGCCTCCCAAGAGGGAGAGTCAGAAGCTGCATGATCTCTTGAGGTCAAGACCCCGAAGTTACAGGATTGCTTCTACCACATTCTGTTGATCAAAATAAGTCACAGTCCTGCCTAGATTCAGGGCTGGGGAAGAGCAGATCCGCCTCATCATGGGCAGGGTGGCAAAGTCATATTGCAAGAAGAGATAAGGACGGGAGAGAGTGCAAGGGCCATGTTTAAAAACATAAAATACCTAATTTGTGCCCCAAGCATTGCTCTAGGTCTGGGACTACAAAGGCAAATGAAAGATATTAAAACTCTTGCCCTTCAGGGGCTTTGATTCTGGTGGGGGACGAAGAGAGGAAACACGTAAAACATAGTTTGTTAAGGGCACTAAAAGCTAAAAAGAAAAGAAATCAGGGCAGGATGGGAGGAAGGGGGCAGTGAGGGCCACTAGTCAGGGAAAGCCTCTCCGAGGAGAGCTGTTTGAGCAATGGAGGATGGAAGTGTGGGATGAGCTTTACCAGTAAAGGGAACAGCAGGTGTAAAGGTCCTGGGGTGAGGGCATGGTTGGTGTGGTTGGTGGGAGTGAGTGGTAGATGATGTCAGATAGAATGTGGGTGGTAAGACCAGAAGATGTAGGGTTGCAGACGCCTCTTCCTGGTGTTTTCTTTTTTAAAGGTTTATTTATTTATTCATATAAGACCTGGGGTGCAGGCCAGAGGTGGGGGGGTGGTGAGCAGATTCACCAGACACAGAGTGGGGAGCAGAACAGGCAGACTGACTGAAATACACTGCTGAGGGGAGCAGCGGGCAAGTCAGGAGAGGTCTGCTGCACCATGTGGGTAGCTCCCTGGCTGGCGGGGGATCGAATTCATGCTGCAGTGGCTGCGGATTGCTTCATAGGTTGTGTCTTAACCGTTGTGCCACCAGGCGGGCCCCTCTTCCTGGTGTTTTCTGAGAGAGGTGGAGAACAGGAGAGGAATGAAAGAAAATTAAGACCTAATTAACATATAGCATATAATTCATATAAACACAAATGACCATTTTAAGGTGCACAGTTCAGCGGATTTTAGCACATGTCATGTAGCATCACCTTGATGCAATTCCAGGGCATTTCCATCAGCCAAAAAAGGCACCCCGTAATCTGTACCAGTCACCCCCATCCCTCTGTTCCTCCGTTCTCAGAGGTGACAATGACTAAGGTGCTTTCTGCGCCCTCCTGGACCCCGCCCCTGGCAGGAATCAGGCAGCGCAGCCTTGGTGCCTGGCTGACCTCTCAGCGCGCTGTCTGCAAGGACAGCCGTGGGGGAGCAGGTCGCAGGACGTCATTCCTTGTCGTTTCGAACAACATTCCTCCATGGGAATAAAGCGTATTTTGTCCCTTCATCGGTGGGTGGACACGGCGTTCCCTCCATTTTTGGCGATTATGAATAACACCCGAGTTTCTGTAAGAACCTGTGTTTTCCATTCTTTTGGATCTCCTGCCGGGACGCGGGCGGCTGTGTGGAGCCTTTGGCGGGTCTGCCAGGCGGGCTCCGGAGCAGCTGCCCCGGCTCACGTTCCGCCGCAGGGCGCAAGGGGCCCAGCAACATTTGTGATCCCTTGTGTGACGGCAGCTGTCCTGGCAGCTGCCGCGCCACCCGCGGGAGGTTTTGAGCAGAAAGGGGCCTTAGTTTTAAAAGGAGCTCTCAGAGGGTGAAGGGGCACAAAGGAAGTGAGCCTGGAGAGCAGGCTACTGCACCAGTCCCAGCAGAAGAGGGTGGCGTGCGCCAGGGCGCAGGAGGGGCAGGAGGGGCAGGCGGAGCGCGAGGCAGGACTGGGGATACATTTTGCAGGTAGAACAGAGAGGATTTGCTTATGTATTGGCCGGGGCGAGAAAAATGAGTGAGAAAACTGAGTGGAAGGTGCTCCCAGGTATTTGATCTGAACAGCTGGACCCGGGAGTCTCCATCTGTTGGGCCGGAGAGGAATGAGGGTCTCTCTGTGTTTTCTTTTACGATAACTGGGCAGGACCCAGTTACTTTTTGGACTGTGGCCTCCCCAGCTTGGATCGGGACTCGGGAAGAAGGAGATGTGAGAGAAGAAGGTGGACGCCATGATTCAGGTGTGCTTAAACATCCCCTGGCCTTGCTCGAAATGTCACTTCGAGCGAGCCCTTGGCGTCCTTCCGGGGAGGGGCTGGCCTCTGCCGTGCAGTGGGAAGGACGGAGGGCATTCGTTTTGCTTCCGGCTGGTTAGAGAGGCTTGTGGGCTGCTGCCTGCAGGAATCTTGTTTCAGAGACTGCTTAGGGGATCATCTTGAGAGAAAATTGTCCTGTGAATGATTTGTGGGCAAGATGGGGCAGCTGATCCCTGGCTCCTTCCTGTTGTGTGGAAATGCTTGGCTCATTCCTCCCATAGCTGAGCAGACCATCAACAAATGCCTTTCTGCTCTCTTCTGCTTCGGGGCATCACCCCGGAGTGGGGGTGGGGTAGAGACCCTCCCTGACAGGCAGTAATCAAGGGGACACGCACATTCCCAAAGAGCATCTCGAAGGTGACAAACGTCTGGAATCGGAAGTTTCAGAGTCAAATTCTGGCTTCAGTCTATTAGCTGTGTGACCGTAAGCAAGTGACTTAAGCTCTCTGGGCCTCTGTTTCTTGTTTCATACAAAGGGGGAAAATTTTGGTACCTACCATGTAGAGTTCTTGTGAGAATCTAACGAGACACTCCCATGTGGAGTGATTGGCCGTTGTGTTTATTGTCTAGTGAGAAATACCTAAAGCAGCCTCTTACTGCGCACCTCCCGTGAGCCAGCACCCTGGCAAGTGAAGGAGACCCTTGTCATCTCAGGGTAAACGTCACAGCCTTGACAGATGGGTGTGGCGGTTCCCTTCTGGGTGAGCCCACTGAACGCAGCCCTGAAGCTGGCGGGTCAAGGTCACAGGACTCGCAAAGGACCAGGTGGGGTTTGAACCTGGACTGGCAGGGCCTTTCTGAGCAGGCAGGATAGGTCACAACGTGCTTCTCAGAGAAAAGAGCTTCCGGTGCAGCCGGGAAAGGAGGCAGCCCCCCGCTGGGGGTGCTCGGTCCTATCTCCCTGGCAGGCGTGGCCTTCCTAAGGGGCTGGGGCAGGGTAGCCTTGTCAATGCCAGCGCTGGAGCACAGGCTCCGTCACCCACCTGTGCCCCCTCCTGGCCCTCTCGCACTCCTCTGGCTAGTCAGCAGCCATTCCCCTTCCCCCACCTCACGCCGCTTCAGGACTTGACTCTGGGGGTCCTTCCTGAGCGCCTCCCAGTGCTCCCTCCTCCCGGGCCCTCTCCCATCACGCCTCCCCTGGTGAGGCCCAGAAATAGTCCCAGCTGTGAGATGAAGGCCCCGGGTTTAAAATTGCAACTGGGAACTATTTATACCCCCGCCGGAAAGCTGTGTTTTGCACAGTCGCTTATTTGCTGCCGGTGGCGAGGAGCTGCGGGCCGCACCGCACGCACGTCTGCCGAGGCAGGTGCTGGGCGGGGGAGCCCAGGTGTGTGGGGCCCTCGGGCCTGCCCAGAGCGGCGAGTGCTGGGAACCCTGTGGCCGGATGAGCGCCAGAGCAAGGTTCACGGTCAGGTTGAGCTGCTCAGACGGCTACGAGTTTTTAAAAGCAGGCATTTCAGAAGTCCCAAGAATAGGCCCTACCTGAGCGGGCGAGGTTCAAATTCCGTTTCACACGCTGAGGGAGCAGGGCTTGTCACCTGGCACACACTCCCTCTGTCGTATTTTGCTTGGCCTGAGGACTGCTAAAAACTTTTATTTTTGAATTTTTGCCACTGTTTAAAAAATTGGGACATTTCCCATCAAATGAACATTTCTGGAAAAATGGAAGGAGCTGGCTGCCCGAGTCAGTGTTGCCTGATGGCAGCTGGTGGCTTGGGGGCCCCGGAGGGCACTCCCCAGACCCCCAGCCCCGGCGACCGTGTCACTAACTTCACTTTCTGGCCCTGAGAACTTTCGAGTTTCACACATCGTGAACATTCTCTTCTCCCTTGCCGGCCCCCGCTCCCCAAAGCTGAAAAGCACTGTCTTAGGGTTTCCAGACAAAGCACAAGGACACCCAGGTCTGTTGGAACTTCAGATCCACAAAGAATATTTTTTAGTGTAAGGAGCTAACTACCCTAGTTACCAGCATCTGGCACCCACTGTTCCAGAACTTTCTCTGTGGAAGCGCGGTGCCCATCCCGTTGCTGTGAGGACAGGTCCTATTCTCCTGGGCCTCTGCTTTCCCTCTCCTGGGGTTTCCCAGTCTTTGCACAGTCTTTGTAAGAGCTGGCCCTGAGGCTGTGACCTCCAGCCCACGTGAGAATCCTGGCCCGGCTCTCCGCTGGCTCTGGGGCCTCGGTAGCTGGTAATTTCTGCTAGTGTTTACTTGTCCGGTCTCGTCTAGAAGCTGCGTGGAGTGGATGGGCCGTGGGCATCAAGATTGCTGCCCGCTCATCGCTGGCTTCATTGAGGCTCTGAGAGGTTTTGCGACGGGAAAGGAGGTCTAGAGGGAACTGGGCCATAAGCCTATGATTCCACTTGGTTAAAAAAAAAATGAAGGGTGTTTGTCTCCCTGGAAACCACTTGCTAATCTCTAGGATATTGTCTCTTCTCAGGCGAAGGAGGTGGAGGAGAACATCGAGGAGATGCTCCTCAGGCTGGAAGAGTTTTGCAGCCTGACTGACATGGTGAGTGGATGCCTGGGAAGTGTGGGTTTAGGCCCAGGCCAGACTCCAGGCCCTTCTGGGAGTTTTCTGGGGAAGACATTTCGGTGGTGATTTAGCAACCAGAAGGAATGGGGCAGAGGCCAGCGGTGAGAGGAAATCTCTCTCTCTCTCTCTCTTTCTCTCTCTCTCTCTCTCTCTGCCCCTCTCTCCCTCTCTCCCTCCCATCCCCCCTCCAAGGCTTCCCGTGGCAGCCATCTTGATAACGCCTTTCCCGGGAGATGGTTCTTATTCCACAGAGGAGCCAGGACTGGGCCACCAGGTGGCACTCTCGGGCACCGATGCAGGGAGCCTTTCAACGGGGATGCTAAGACTATATTTAACTTTCCTCTTTCTGCTCAGTTCACCAGGCAAACATGGAGATAGTCAGGAAATGGCTTCAGGCCTGTGAGGCCCAGAAGGAAGTTCTTGCCAGGCTGTGGGCTGGGGCAGGTGGGGCATGGTTTCCTCCCCAACTTTGGCTCTGTCCACTGCTCTGTTTTGGATCAGATCTCCGTGGCTGGGTGGGAAGATGGAAGACAGTGCTTTAGGCCTGGAAGACAAGGTCCTCGCTTGAAATTCCCTAGAATTCGCTAGATCCTCATGTCCCCGGGGTTGTTGCCAGCCAGAGATGGGGCCCTGAGGGGTAATGATAGAATTTTCTAGAAGTCCCCAAGCTTATTACAGGCAAACCAGCAATTCAGCTCTCAGGTTACTACCTGGAGGCCCAAAGGGTCGAGCTTTGCGTGTGACCAGCCCTGCTGCTCCCTGGCCCAAGGGGAGCCTGCCCGTCGGTGTGGTTGGTGCCCCAGCAGAGGGGCATTTGTGAGCACCCAAGGAAGGAGCAGCAACAACAGCCCAGATGTTTATTGAACTCCTACTTTGTGCCAAAGCATCATCTCACTTCCTCTCGAAGCAACCACCCCAACGGGCACCATGTCATCAGCAGACACTGAATAATTGGCCTGTGCCTGCCCCTGGGGGCACAGCAGTGATCGAGCAGGAGTGTCCTGAGAGCACTTTTGTGGGATTTTCTCTGGAGGGCGAGTTCCTAGTCCAGATGTGGGTCCAGCTGGGAGTCAGGTAGTGAGATAGACTTTGAACAGCTTGGGCTGGTCTTTTTTCAATACCAAATTCCGGACACCATCTTTGAATGGGCCCTGGGCTGAGCCAGGGGATGGAAAGAGAGTCAGCTCCATCTCTGCGCCCACGAACCCCTCTTCTGCTGGGGGATCGTGATGTGTCCAGCAGTCGCTGCCACTAGCGTTGACAGTGCGACCCCGGAGGTGTGCTCGTGGCATGGAGGAAGGGGTTTTGAAAGGGCAGTGGGCCTAAAAGGACCCGGACCCCTAATCCTAAGACTTATTTGCTAAAAAAAAAAAAAAAAAAAAAAAAACCCACAAACAGGTTAGAGGTGTTAAATTTCGCCTGGGAAATTGGGAAGCCTTTGCAGAACAGGTGGTGATTAATTTGGGGCTTGAACAGGAAGAATTCGGGGCATCCAGGCGGAGGGGCTGTCTGGGTATCAGCAGGGGGCGCAGGCTGGGGGCGCCCTGAAATATGGCGTGGACCAGTGATCCAGGGACATCTTTGTTCTCCAGTCCCAGCCACCCTGGGACGGAGCCCGCCATCTGTCCAGGAGGAGCGCTGCAGCAGCAGTTGGCTCCGACAGGTCAGGCGCGGGGACACGATTGCCTTGAGAGCAGTCGGACTTCATGGTGTCAAGTCTGCTTCTGTGTCGCCAGCAGCCCACTCAGGCAGCGTCGAGAAGGGCCACTCGGCGCTTGAAACCTGCGGAGGCACAAGGATTCTAGCCCTGAGCCCACACGCGGTGACCCACAGACCCCCTTCCTGCCTGCAGATACGTCGGCCGTTTCTAGGAGGAAGAAAGGCATCAGCTGCTGACATTTCTAGAATGTCATGTGAAAAGTCTGAATTTTTAGAAGAGCAAAGACCTGGCCCCTGTGGGTGCTCAGTCCTGCCCGCCAGGTCTAGGGGGCTGCACAGTGGCCGTCTCCGTGGGCAGCTCGCTCTCCGCACTCACTGTCCCTGCAGCCCCTGCGGGGCGTCCCAGGGTCCATGGCCACGTGCCAGGGAGATCGTCATGGCTCGTGCGTTTCATGGTAGAGAATGTTTCTCTCTGTGTTTGGCTCATCAGAAGAGAGAAAATGAAGCCAGACAAGAGGGGTCCACGTTTTAAGAACTGGAAGGAGCAGGGAGAGTGGGGGTGAAGAGCGGTCCTGGGGTAACACGCGAAGCTGCATGTCCACGTCAACAGACTGTGCTCTGTATGATGAGTTGGCGGCCCCTGCAACGTGCTGATGCCATTTAGGTTCTAGAATCCTCTTGGCCCCACGACTGATGGTGAGCCCAGCTTGTGGGGCTGCCCCGGAGTCACGGGCTCCTTGGCCCAGAGCGGCGTCTCTAGTCACACTTGGGACGTTGCTTCGTCTTTTGAGTTTCTTTGGAATCCAAGCGAGGGATGAGTGGGCGCCCCTGGGGCCAGGTGATGTGGCCGCGTGAACCCTGCTCCCGGGGCCCTGGCGTGGCCTTTGGAAACCCTGATCAAGTTAGAGGACTGAGAGAAGCCAGGCTCCCTGCTGCTCAGTCTGGAGAGAAGCTGCTTCGCTTCTGATAAAATCAGGCTATTAGAAATGAGCCCGGCTTCCTGTCTGATGTATTCACTGCGCTGCTGCGTCCTTGATCCGGCTCCGTGACTCGAGTTCACTCTGCTCTGCCTGTGACCTCCTGTGACCTTCGATGCAGTGCCGGTTACTTCATACACCTCAGCCTCTGACTCCCCACTGGGGCAGGGGTGGGTTAGGGCACCCACATCCCCTCTCTGCCTGTCCTTTCTCCTCTGGGAGATGGAGCCATGGTTCTCATTATCTGTTGCTGCATCAACTCCCCCAAAATCCAGTGACATAAAACAACCACCTGCTTATCGTATGGGCCAGGGCAGGCCAGTGGGGCTGGCTTCTCTGGGCGGGGATGGAGGTGGCTGGACTGGGCCGGGCTGGGAGGGGAGGGCGGGGTAGCTGGGGGCGGGTGGCTGTGACTTTCCTCCATGCCCCCTCTCAATGTGGGTGCTTGGGCTTCCTCCCAGCATGGCAGCTGGGCCTCCCCAGAGCAGAGAAGCAGGCACTGCCGGGTCTCCCGTGGCTGGGGCGTGGAAATCGACACCGTCATGGTGTCCTATTTCATTGGTCAAAGTGGTGACGGAGCCCACCGAGCTCCAAGGGGAGGGAACATAGACCCCACCTCTTCGTGGGAGGGCTGTGAGGACTGCGGCTGCCTTCCCTCTACTCCAGATGGCATCCTCCTTCCGAGGGGGGTGGGTCACGCGGGAGGGCACTTTGTGTCCACTGGAGTGGCCAAAATAAAGACCCTAGCAAGTGTGGACCCAGTTGGGGAGCAGCAGACACTCATTCTTTCACTGGTGGAAATGCAAAAGGGTACCCCACTTTGGAAAACAAAAGTCAAGCAAACACTTGCCCACTGTCCAGCAGCTCTAATCCCAGATAATTACCCAAGAGAAGTGAAGGTCAGTGGCTGCCAGGAGCCAAGTGTTCACAGAAGCTTCATTCACGATGCCACAAGCTGGACACGACCCAAGTGTCCATCACCAGAAGAGACGGGCGTGGATGTTGTTATTTACACCTCCATTGCGGTGCGCCGTGATGGGAAGGAGTGGACGCAGCGCTGCCAGCGTCGAGGACGGAGCTCACACCTGGGTGTGAAGGGAGCCCGGCAGAAGTTTGCCCTCTGAGTGTATTCTGAGATTTTAGACTGGGCACCTAACTTGGTCGTGTTTGGGGGTTCTTTTTAGACAAGCTGCGGCTGACTCTGCCGAACTTGTGTATGATGATGGAAGTCAGTTGTTTGGGAGGGTGGTCATGACTGGAAAGAGGTATGAGGGAGCCCTTAGGGAGATGCAATGTTCTAGATGTTGGTCTAGGTGGTGGTTACCCAGATGGTAGCAAATGTCAAGTGCATCCAACTGTCCACGCGAGGTCTGGGCCCCTCATGGCACATCATTTACCCTCACTTGAAAATAATTGCTGAGCGCAGTATCTGCTGTGGACCCGTGGATGAGCGACCCAAGGCCACTGTTGATAGGAAAGCTCGAGGTTGAGGACACTGGTGATGTAACCCCTGCAATGGAGCTTGCACGGCCTCCCAGCTCAGCGCCCTTGGGCTCGGGCAGCTTGTCTGGGCGCTCAAAACCCCAGTGGCTTCAGGCCCACCTTCTGCAGGGAGCAGGAGCTTACTTTGCTCACATAAATGGAGAAAATTTCCTGTTGGCCTCAGCCCAGCACTTGCATGTGGCGTTGGTGTGTGTTTTGGGTCAAGTGCACTTGGATCTCCTTCCTGGGGGCCTCAGTCATCCAGGCCGTGTCTGCTCTGCTGTAACCCCAGCATCTGCTTCCCAGACTGCTGGACTTCGGAGACCAGATCTGGGAAGGTAAGAGGACAGACTGGGGGAGGGTCTGCCAGACCCCCAGGCCAGCAGACCTGCAGAGGTTCTAAAAGCCTCGCTTCTTCACGGATGTCTCTTTGCTCTTTTCGGCACAAAGCACACAAACCCAGATGCCTGTGACATGGTGGTATGAGATGGGCTGGGCATGAGGAAAGAAATGCGTTGCTTTTCTTGACTCTCCTCTAAGGTGCCATGTTGGGGAGACGTTGGGAGTGGTGAGGACTGCGGTTAACCAGAGGAGGCAGCTGCCACCCAGTTCCAGCTGCCACCCAGTTCCAGTGACCACATGAAATACAGGCTTCTTGTGGCCCGGTGTCCTGATCTTTCAGAAGCCTGATGAAGAAGCCAGAAATCTGGGTTTCTAAGGGAAATGTTAGATCTTGGCACCTAACTTGGTTGTGTTTTGGGGCTCTTTTTAGACCTGCTTCAGGCTGACTCTCTACAGGCCCAGCATAACCTGTCTGTAGCCTGCTAGTCTTGGGGTGGCCTCAGGCCAGCCTGGATGGGGACCCTCTATGTCCTACTTTGTAGCTTTGTGATTTTGGGTAAAGTTATTTCATTTTCTCAGTTTCTTCACCCATAAAATGAGGCTGAAGATAAAATAGCTTTTGGTTGTCAGAATCAATTCCCAGCCTGGTGAACTCTGCTGGAGTGTGGGGTGTTGGCACACCCGCTCTTGTTCTGGCCAATATTCCATGACTCATTTTCCCCTCATGGTCTCAGGCACTGGGAAAACCTAGAAAAAAGTTTGGGAGTCTTTTTAACCCCAAAGTTTGTTCCTCCATGTCCCTGTAGCCTCCCACGTGGGCAGGTGCAGACGGTCCCTCCTGCCTGCAGTTTCAGCAGCTGGAGAAGTGTCTTCAGAGTGGGGTCTCCTGCCCAGGCCCAGAGCCTCTCTGTTCCTTGATTCCTTCCTATTTGGGAGTGGGGGAAGTGCTCTTAAATCTCTCAGCAGGGATCCCCTCACTCTTGTGGTTGCTAAGATCCCTCCCTCCCGGCTCCTGCTCGCCTTCCCACTTGGTCCTGTAGACATTAACAGAGGGGAGGGCAGCACTTGACCTTGACCGTTGTGCTCTAGCCTCCAGGAGTTATCTGCTCCTTGTGGCATCACGGGGGTTTCCTCCTGGGCTTAGCCTTGGAGAGGGACGGGTCTCTCTAGAAATCAGCCCTGGGTGAGAAAGAAAAGAGGCAGAAGACTTTACTCTCTCATGGTAACAAAGGCAGGTACCTCGGGGGGAGCCAGACGGACATGTGGGAAGGGGCAGTGGGAGCCGAATTCCATGGAAACCGTCAGAAGTCTCGTCTACTTAGGCAGAAAGAGGAGGAAAACAGTATAATGGTCACGAACATTTTTTAAATGGACGTCTTGTGCTGACTGGCCAGCCTGTGCCAGTTGTGGCAGGACGAGTGATCCCAAAGTGTGACTTAGCCTAAGATGTTAATTACCCTTCAGTGGGTGGCAGTCAGGGTGCAGCCTGACTGGGGCTCGCAGGCTGCCCGCCGGGTCTTGGCCAGGGCCACAGTTATCTCCAGGCTCAACGAGGGCAGAACCGCGTCCAGCAAGGTCAGGGATGTGGGCAGGACTCAAGTCCTCATGGGTGGTTGGCCCAGAGCCCCAGCGGGTGACCGACAGGGCCAGTGAGAAAGCGGAGCACCTGCAGGCTGCAGCGACAGGCTCTCGTAGCCTAACCTCAAGTGACATTTCCCCGCTGACCCCGCTCCATCAGAAGCGAGGCTGCAGGTCAGCCCAAGGAGAGGGCAGCCTCGCAGGGCGTGAAGGCCAGGAGGTGGCACGTCAGGAGCTGCCTGCACACGCCTGCCGCTCGGCTGAACATTCCGCCCTTGCTGCCATTACGGTTCGCACAACAGAGGACTCAGAGAGGTGTGGTGACCTGCCCCAGGTCCCACCGCTCTTGGGAGGTAGAGCTGAATTCAACTTCCAGTCTGATCCTGACTCCAGCTCCTCACGCACCCCCTGAGGTTTCCCTGCCATCTCCAGACCCCCACTCAGCCTGGCCTTGGCCCTTGGCTGAAAACAGATCCCAAGCAGCTCCAGACAGACTCGTCCGGCCGTGGAGGGGCACGGGCGTCAGCGTCTGGCCGGCCTCCCCAGGGAGGACTCACACGTGAGGGTCCGGCCTGGTCCTTTGCCCGCGAAGGAAAAAGGAGGCTTGAAGAGTCTGATTTCAGTGGCGAAAAGAAGGTAGCTTCTTTCGCTCTTTCCTTTTCACAGCCCTGGCTCTTGCCTTGCTACGGTTGCTTTGGGGACCCTTCCAAGCAGAAGAAGTTGAAAATCAAATGAGACGGTGGCAGGAAATGCTTGGCGCTGTGTCCGTGGGCAGGAAGGGCCTGGAGCCTGCGAGCTTTGGTTTTCATTAGCATTATTAATGGCTGTGAATGATCATTATTAACTCCTAAGTATTAATAATTCCAGGGTCATGAAAACTCAGCTTACCTGGATTTGGCTTAGAGAGGAGATGAGAGGAGATTTTGATGCTTTTTCTTTGCTCCAGTTCAGTGGTTTAGAAAATGAAGATATTTAGTTTGGGACTAGCTTCGGCGAATGTTGAGGGGAAACAATTAATTTGAGGTGCAGTTAATACTACCTGGGTGGATTGGTCCTCACCTGTGCCTCTGGATCGTGCCTACCTGGTCCGCGTGCAGCCCCTAGTGGACCCACTCAGTGTCTCGGCCACCATGGAGGCCTGGGCAGGCCCTGGCCAACCCCAGAGGCATGCGGGAGGCCAGAGGATGGGCAGAGGGCCTGATGGGCTGTTTGGTTTCTTGGTTTCTTGCAGATCAGGAGCGACACTTCACAGATCCTGGAGGAAAACATCCCGCTCCTTAAGGCCAAGCTGACGGAAATGCGTGGCATCTACGCCCAGGTGGACCGGCTGGAGGTGTGTGCGGGCTGAGGGCTTTCTGTGTGCACGGTCCTGCTCTTTCGTCCTCTTTCCTGATGCTGTTCTGGTCTTGCCTGTGTCGGGTGTTGGGGGAGTATTGATGGTGAAGTGTGGTTAAAGGCGGTCCACACTCGCCTGGTATTTAGGATAGATAGGAATTTATAAAAGTACCCTATTTTAAAATGGGGTGTTGTATATAAAAATCGGAATTTTAAGCTGCTTTTGGAAATTAGAAACTTTAATAACCTGGGACTATATTTCTCTAAATACTTGAACCTATTTATATTTCAAGGTATAAAGACATAAAACATAGCCATCTTAAATATGAAGTTTTACATATAGATCAACCTATGTGAAGACACCCCAAATTGAGAAATAGAACATTTACAATCCCTTAGCTGTTCTTGCAGAACAGGTGGCAGCTGCCCCTTAGCTGAGAAACATGCTCTGCAGCCCACCACAATCGCCTCCATGCCCTAACGCCTCATAGCTGACTTATCTCACCCTCTTTTACTTGGATGGCCACCCGGCTAAGATGCACGATAAGATTGGTACCCTCACTGTCCTCCCAGAGGAGGAGCATCAGCTGCAAGAGGTCTCTCCCCACAGTCACATGGCCACTTCTCTGAAGCTGGGACTCCCAACTTGTAGCCCCTTGGAGCTCACGTTCTTAGATGACCTGGGGCCCTTGACTTGGGATCCTGGCCCCTTGTGCTGTGAGGGATCAAGACTGGGAGGAGTTCGTGATCAAATAATATTTCCTGGTCAGAGGAGACATAGGCCCCTCCAAGCTGCAGGGGAAGTCAGCGTGGAGGTTAGCAGAGAATTAACATTCTTGTCAGCCAAGAATGAGGCAGGAATATAATTAAAACTTTGCCCTTGGAAAAGCTGAAAAGCTGATTCATTTGAATTTTATTCCATACATTTGAAAGAGGAAAGGAAATGTGAAGGTTTACAGCCCTGGCTCTTGCCTTACTTGGGATGGCCCAGTTCTGCAGCCCTATTCTCTCCATAGCATTCAGTCCACTAACATTTATTGAGGACCTACTGTGTGCTGCTGCAGGGCCTACTATGTGCTACTATAGGGCTCACACATGAGGCAGATGCACTGGCCAGTGTGCACATGCTTCATGGCTTAAAATAACACGAGTGTTGTTATCTTATCGCTCCTAAGGTCAGAAGTCCAAGATGTGTCTCTCAGGCTAAAATCCAGGTGTGAGCAGGGTTGGTGCCTTCTGGAGGCTCTGGGGAGAGTCCATCTCTTTGCCTTTTCCAGCTTCTAGAGGCTTCCTGCATTTCTTAGCTCATGGTCACTTTTTCTAGCCTCAGAATCTACAGTAAGGCACCTTCCAGCCCCTCTCCTGCCCTTCCAGTCCTTCTCCTGTTCCCCTCTTTTAAGGCCCTGTGAGGATACAGGATCTTCTGCCCCTTTCAAGATCCTTGGTTACATCTGCCCCGTCTGCCATGGTAGGTAATAGAGTCACAGGGTCCAGATTAGGACTTGGAGCTCTTTGAGGGACCATTATTCCGCTGACTGTCATTGCCAAGGGCAATTTAGCATTAGGCCCGCACTCTAGAGGGTTGAGTGACTGAGGAGGGCGTACACACCCCTGGATGGTGAGGGGAAGGAGCCGTGTTGGGAGGGAAGGTGAGTGGGACACAGTTCAGGCAGCGGCCCAGGGGTGGGGTGGATCCTGGCTCTGGGGCAGGAAGGAGTTGGGGGCCTGTGAGGATCCTGGGCTGGCCAGATTACAGGGACGAGGGAGGCCGTGACTTGTGCAGGGCAGAGTGATTGGAGAGCAGGACACTCGCTGTCTAGGCCTTGCAGTCCAAAGTCAGGATTTAGGCATTTATCCTGAGGAGTAGGGAGCCCCGAAGAGACAGGAAAGCCTAATGGTTAGGAATACAAACTCTCCAGCAGGGGTTCCAGCCTCAGCAGTGTTGGCCGGAAGTTCTCAGTTGTGGGAGCTGAGCCGGCATGGTGGGCCCTGAGCTTTCTCCAGTGTTGGGGGCTTCCAGGGACCACCCTGCTCTCCGGATCAGTGGGTCCCACCAGCTGGGAACTTGGGAACCGCGGGGTCACCTTTCAGGCCAGAACTCAGCCCTTCTCTGTTCAATCATAAAACCCACACTTACTGAGCACCTACTATGTGTTACTACTATGTGTTACTGGCTCTGAGTGCTTCACTTGTAGGAACATACTTCACCCACCCTCTAAAGCCCTGAGAGGAGAGTCCTGGTGTTCGTCCCATTTCACAGAGAGAGTAGCTGAAGGCCAGAGAGGGAAAGTGCTTTGCCTGAGGTCACACAGCCAGGACGCTGAGTTTGCAGAAGTCCATGCTCCTGACTGCCCCTGGTGCCCCTCTGGCAAGCTGGGGGTGGGGGTGGGGGGTTGCCTGAGGTGTCCAACTACATCAGCATTTCCAAATATTTTTAAGAACAGTGGGGCTTTTCCCACTCTCCTCCCAAATAATAGAAGTGGTAATTTTCATACTGGAGAAAATATAGATGTCACCCACACTCCCAACACCCGGTAGCCTATAGGGTGCTCGGATGAGCTCCCTTCTTGGGCCCCGTCCTGCAGCCCTGAGCCAGGCAGCAGGCTGGGGTGCAGGCCTGCGGGTGGGCTCCCCCCCAACCCTGCTGGAAGGCCCGCTGGAGGCAGTTCAGACCTTGTGAGCTCGCATTCCTCAGCGTCGCCTCACACTCCCCACCAGATCGGTATTAACGCAGGGAGCGTAAAATTGGAATCGGCTGGAGGAAGAGGACTGTGGGACTTTCTTCTGTTTTACAACCAGATGTGCTGGCTGAGCGAGCCCTGAGCCCTGGTCCGGACGGGGCCCTGTCACCCCAGCCCCCACACACCCAGTGCGATTCATTCCGCCTTTCAGCTCTGCGGCTGCCGGAAGCCCAGGCAACAGCAAAGCAGTGCTGCCATCTTGGGTCTGTCGGGGCCTTCCGCTGGGGATGCCTGCGCTCCTGCCTCCTCCATCCCGCCGAGCCCCTGCTAGCTGACCCAGCCCCAGTCCTGGCCTGGCGAACAACTGACTCAGCGCCTGCTCTTTCAGAGCTTACGTTCTAGAGGGAGGTGCACCATGAATAAGTTGACAAGTATTTTGGAGGCTGAGAAGACTAAGAAGACAGGGAATCAGGGTGACTCCACGGTGACTGGAGCTGTTAGATGTATGTGAAGGGGACAGTCAGTCCAGGCCCTGAGAGATGAGCAGTGTTCACCCCTCAGGAGCAGAGAGCGTGGAGAGAGCTGGTGCACGGGCCGCGGAGAGCGAGGCCTGACTCTTGCAGGGGAAGCTGGCTGGTGTGCAGGACAGAGCAGGTGCGGAGGCTGCACAGCAGAAGGCCTAAGGGGCGCGAGGGGGCCTTTCCAATCCACGAAGGGCGGCTCCCTCATGGAGCCCAGAACTGAGTTGTCCTTCCTGTTCCCGGGCAAGAAAATCTCCCATTTTTCTCCTGGAAGAGGGGAGGCCCAGACCGTGGGGCTTGTCTGAGATGGTACAGGAGTCGCCACCTTTGGTGACCTCAGTCATGTACGCACACAACACACATGCACGTACATGAATAAGACACATACAGACATGCACATGTATGCAAATGGACAGGAACACATGCACAGAAACACACATGACACACGAACACAACATAAGCACACACATGGTGTGTACACGTGCCCACACAAACACACGTGTACTTGCACACAAGCACATGGACACACAAACACGGCATAAGCAAGTGTGTGCATGAGCACGCATGAGATAGCAAACACGCGCACACAGGCACTCTCGTGACCACATGCGTGCATGAACGAGTGCACACACACGAACACGTGACACGGGCTGTGTGCAGAGAAAGGCCAGAGAAACTCACACCTCAGGCTCACACGAGTGATGAGATTTTACTGAGCAGCATTTTTTAAAGTGTGGATTTCTTGCTAGTGCTCATAAAAACTGGGGCCTCTTGGGGTAAAATCTGAATGTCCTTTTTAAAAATGACATTATCTAACATTCATCGTGCTCTTAATAGATGCTAAACACTTGACTTGTTTAGCACAAGGCTGGTATTTTGTCATTCTCGTTTTACAGGTAAGAAAACTGAAGCCAAGGGGCACCGCTAGAGGGTAGGCCCCGCCCTCCCCAGAGCCTGACCCCAGGCTTCTCTTTCCTGCCTTTCTTTTTGAAATTGCAAGTTCTGCCCCAGAGCCGCAGAGCTGAGTGGCCCCTGTGGGCCCAGGCCAGCATCCGGCCCCCTCAGCCCTCTTCACCCGCCTGCCCACCGGCTGCTTCCAAGTTGACACTCCCTGACAGCCGTGGACATTGTAGTGAGGATTTGGGCAATTTCTAAACATCCGTTTTTAACAAAGACGGCTTTGCAGCCTGCTGGCCGGGCACGCTCCCTCCTGCCACTCCCAGCTGCTTGGCATTGGGCCGGTGACCCAGCCTCTCTGAACTTTGGTTCCCCCCTTTGTAAAACGAAGGTGGAAACTCAGGTCACTGGGGAACTGGAGAGCCCCCCACCCCCTCTGGCCAGGCCCCCTACAGAGCAGTTATCCCCAGGGATTGGGAGGTGCCTCCAGGTAAGCAGGGGCCTGACCTCTCAGGGCCCAGGTTAGAGGCCCTGGCACCCCCCAGCCCAGGGAACTCCCCCAGAACAGGCTTCAGTGGTGGCAGCGGCAGTGGCACAGGCTCTCCCTCCCACAGGCCTTTGTGGAGATGGTCCGGCACCACGTCTCCTTCCTGGAAGCCCACGTGCTGCAGGCCGAGCGGGACCACGGGGCCTTCTCGCAGGCCCTGCGGAGGTGGCTGGGTTCCTCTGCGCTCCCCTCCCTCAGGAACGTGAGTATCTCCCACCTTTCCAGCCTCCCATCTTTCCACCTCCTCCCAGACCCCTCTTCCTCCGGCAGGGAGAGGGACCAGGAAACCAGAGTTCAAAGGGCACAGCTCCCTTCTGCAGACAGGAAGTGGCATCTGGATGGCCATGGGGGCCTGGCCCAAGTGGCTGGGGCTTCCCTGTCCCTCCCGCGGGCGCCTCTGCTGGTCCTGAGCTTCGTGCTTGCATGCATTCACTCAGCCAGCATTTTTTTTTTTTTTGAAGACTTATTTATTTATTTATACAAGCACTGGGTACAGTCAGAAGCACGGGAGGATGAGAGAATTCACCAGAGCCAGAGCAGGGAACAGAACAGGCAGACTAACGAAGAAATACACTGCTGAGGGGAGCAGCGGGCGGCAGGAGAGGTCTGTCGCGCCATGTGGGACCCTCGCCAGCGGCCAGGGATCGAACCAGTGCAGCAGAGGCTGCGGGCAGCTTTGCAGCCCAGTGCTCAACTGCTGCACCACCAGGGGAGGCCCCTCAGCCAGCATTTATTGAGCACCTGTTGTTTGCCCAGCACTGTGGTCCATCTGGGGTGACCATGGCGGGGGGCTGAAACAGGCCTGTCCTGTCCCTTCCTTACACAATGACCACACACTCAGGGGCTAAGTGGAGTAAAAGTTTCAATGATTGTTAGCGATGATTATGTAATCAAAGTGAGGCCTCGAACCTGGGAAGCAGTCCGACAGACTTAGAGTTTAGATAGGAACAGTGAGTGACATCAAAAGGTTATTATTCTTGGGGGGCATCTTGGGGGGGCTTGATCCTAAGTTAATTTGACCTAAGATGTGCTGACGCCACCTATGTGCAGAGGAGGGCACTGGGGGAGGGCAGATAGAGGCCCTTGGTTGCCCTGGCCTGCAGCAAGTGCCCCAACAGCCCTAACAGCATGGCCTGCTGGGCCCCTGGGCCCTGTGCTCTACACTCCTTTGCTGTAATTGGCATCATTGTCCCCAGTGGTTGGCACTTAAGTGGCCCCCACTTAAACACAGAGAGCAAGGTTGGAGGGGGGAGTTGCACATCCCAGGTCAGTGCTGGGGCTGGGACTCAGGCTCCTGCTGCACTGCAGAATCCCCGCAGGCGTGGCTGGGCGTGCTGGGACCTGCACCCCTCATCTCTCCCAGACCCAGGGCCCCCGGGCCTACCTGTGGTGACTCGTTCCAGGAAGTATGTCCCAGCCCAGGCCGGTGAGTCATCGGGCACCCCGGTATGTTGTTCTTGGCCCCAGGAGGGCTTCGTTTGGGGCAGGCAGAGCAGGTACATGTGTGCTGTGTGTCTATGTGTGTGTGAGCGTGTGTGCAGAGGCTGAGGGTGCCCAGGACTGCACCTGCGGGAGGTGGGGGAGAGCCCTTCAGCATAGCAATCTTATGTTGGGGCCCTGACTCTGCAGGCACCTCACCTCCCACCCTGTAAAGCAGGTCGGTCATAGGGGTTGAGTTATTTTGACCTTAGATGTGCTGACGCCGCCGAGGTGCAGAGGAAGGGTTGAGCTACTTGCCGCCCCAGAAAGTGGTGGAGCTGGGATTTGAACCTGTGGGTCCTGGGCCCAGAGGCAACGCTCTGCTCTGTTCTGCCAGGTCTTTCTGTGCCAGGTTCTGACCAGGGGGCTACTGTTCTGGGGCAGAGGTCCCCTAGAGTCCCCAGCTGGTTCCCTGCTTCTTCCTTCTGGGTTTCCCCCCAAGCCAGGATTTCAGTCTCTAGTGAGTTCCCCCCAGTGCCTGCCTGAGAGGCCCTTCCCTCAGTGACTGCGGCTGTTACCCTTAGAGAATCCCCCTCACCCCCCACCCCCGGGGGAAGCCGCTCCTCCCAACCCCAGGGTCCCTCTTCCTTCCCACCTGCTGCCCTCAGCCTCCGAGGGTCCCGCTGAGAAGGCTGGGCGAGTGGGTGGGTGGGGCAGGGGCGCTGGGGCTTCGCTGGCGCTGGCACGCCACACAGCTCCCCCGGAAGCCCATCCTGTAGCCCACCTATTGTTGATCCCCCGTTCCCATGGCCTTCACCCCTCGAGCTGGGCAGGGGTCTTTGGGGGCGTGTTTCTACCCTCCCTGCTGTTGCATCAGCCGGAGCAGGGGTTCTGGGGAGGGCGGGCACGGGAGTCAATTGGTCTGGCTTATTCCTACTTCGCTGGCCCTGCTTGCCCGCCTCCTCTCCCTCCCCACCCCCCCCTCACCTTGCCGTGCAGTGGGGAGGCCCAGGTGAGGGTGAGGCACGCGGCCAGGGCCTCCTGCCCCACCAGGAGTCCCCCAGCCTCTGCCACACTGTGACCGGGGCTGGCTGTGGCCTGGGGGCCTCGAGATGCCAGAGGAGGAGGAGGGGCATGGGGGCACCGCTGTACCTCTCTCCCCTCTCCCTGCAGCTGGTTGCCTCTGACTTGAGGCACCTGACAACGTGTCCACAGGCGGCACCAGGCTGGCTCCCTGCATCCCATTAAAAAATAGGCACATTTTTATGCGATAATGTGTCTATTTTCATGGGACCGAGTCGGTATTTTCCTGCTGCCCCACATACAAGATTCAGTTGTATTGATTTGTGTGGCGCTGGAAGCTTCTAACTAGGCGGGGCAGCGCTCCTCCCGGCCCAGCCCGGCCCCGCCCCGCGCCCTGTAGCACGAGGGCCACTGCGGGCAGAGAGCCTGGGTCAGGGACGCCAGCTCGGCCAGGAGAGGCTTTGCTGCTGGAAAACTGGTTTGGGTTTGATGCAAAATGATGAGGGCCTCTGCTGCAGCCGTGGGAATAAAAGGAAGTGGAAGGCTGCAGACTTTCCAGAGGTTTCCAAGCAGGTCTGAAAAGTCCACTTTGCTTGTGAGTAGCGACGCCTTCGAGGACAGCCTGGCTCAACCCTGAGCAGGCCTGGGGCGGGCTGGCACCGAGGCAGCCCTGCGTCGCCAGCGCTGTTCCCAGCTGATCCCCACCCCACCGGGGAGGGGCTCTTTTTACCCCTATTTTACAGGTTTGCAAAGGGCGGCACAGAGAGGTTAAGGAACCTCCCCAAGGTCACACAGCTGGCGTTGGGCTAGAACCACATCCTTGACTCTCCTCCATGGTGTCTTGGGAGAGAACTGTGACTTTCAGGCGCTTTGTCTTGTGGGAGAATCAGCGATCAGATCCTGAGAAAATTCAGTAGGTCGTGTCTTCTAAAGGGGCCCCTGGCTTGCTGCGAGGGGGTCAGGAATGGCCCCCAGGAAGTGCGCATAAGCAAGACCTGGCGGATGAGTTAGAGTCAGTCTGAAGTTGGAGCAGAAGGATAGTAAGCGCAAAGGCTGCCTGGGGTGGGACCGAGCTGGTGCCTGAGAGCCTCGGGAACTCTGGGGGTGCCCAGCAGTGAGGGGCAACGGAGGGAGCCGAGGCCAGGCCTCGTGGTCTCTTCCGAGGCCCTGAGGAGCGGGAAGGCTCCTAGCAGGAGGGACTTGCTCCACTTTGCCAGGACTCCTCCCCCACCCTGGCCGCGGGCTGTGTTCAGTGAACCGTGTCTTGCCGAGACTTGAACCTGCGAGCTGAGCCGGGCGCCTGGGTGCCCTCCAAGCCTCAGGGGTCACTGAGGAGCGAGTCTCCTTGACCTGGAAACATCTCATAGTGTCCTGAGCTCAGCCATCCTCGCCTCACCCAGGGCCCTTGTTCAGCTGGAGAAGCAAGACTAGAGGCTCAGAGTGGGGGCCCACCTGGCCGAGTGTCCGGGTCCCTGCTGGAGGGGGGCCAGCACCTGCAGGGGGCCCACACCTGGAGAGACTGTCAGCTGGGGCTGGAGCCTCCGGGGCTGGGGAAGGGCTTGGGAGACCGTGTCAGGTGTCGCTGTGTCCCCTTGGCCCAGGCCCGATGACGCTGTGGGTGTTCTGCTGACCATGCCAGGCCCACCCTCGGCACATGTGCCCGGAGGCGCTGAGCAGCCTCGCTAATTTGTTGTAAACCACTGTTTATGTTTTGCTGAGCCAAAACATCTTGTTCATGAGGTGTCATTTAGATTAATTTTCTGAAGGGTAAGAATATGTTGCTTTCCAAGGAAGGCTCTTTGGCTAATAACAAAGCCACGTGGGGCCAAGTCCTAATGCCCATACAGAGCGAGGCTGCTGGGTGGATTGGGGCTGGGCCCTGGGCCTGCCTGGCTCACTCGTTCACCCCACCAGATGCCCACAGAGCAGCTGGAAACAGAAATGAGTCCATCTGCCAGGTGTGAACAGTAAGGAGCGGTGAGGACTGTGGCAAATTGCAGAGCCGTTGCCTTATCGACAGGGGTACAAATTATCCACCAGAAGCCTTGCAGAAGAGGGGCCAGGGGTGGCCAGATTTCCCTACTGGGGGGAGAAAGAAAGCTGGACACTTGCAGCTTGATGGGATCTCCTAATGTGTCTGCCTGTCAGCCATTCCACTGTCCGACTATTAAACACTAAGGGAAAAATCTGCCCCAGTGGCTCACACCCGCACACTCTCAAGCTCTGGGTTTTAGGCGGGAGGCCTGTACCCCACAGACACCTCCCTTTTGGAGGACCTGAGACCAGGGCAGGGTGGAGAGGCTTCTCCTTCACTTCTTTGCACCAGTCTCATGGCTTTTAGCAGCAGTGTATTTGACCCCTGGAGGTTTTACTGCGCGGCTCCTGATGTGCCATTATTGTAGTTGTATTGAGCACGTACGTGAGGCACCTGCTGTGCCTTGCTTCAGCTTCCCTTCACAACCCCAGGGATAAATGCTGTAATTCCAGTTCATGAGGCAGGGACCTGTGGCTCAGAGAGGGCTGTTCCCTCGCCCAGGGTCACGCAGCGTAAGTGGCAGAGCCGGGATTTGATCCAGCGTTGACTTGCTCAGTGTGTCTCTCCCCGTCCTCTGTGGTCTTCCCCAGAGCAGGGACCGCAGCCTCCCTGGATGAGGCTGCAAACGGGAGCTCCTCAGCCAAATCTGCCCACCAGTGCCTCTGGCCAGCTCAGCTGTTTGTTCAACCTTGTTTTGTTATAACATGGATGGGAGAAGGTAATCC